CTTTTATATATTTTAGGCCCATCATTGGTGTATGTGCTACCACCGACACGGAGAGGTGGTGTGTCCGGGCGCTTTGTCTCGCTCAGAAGATGGGAATCGAGGCGACATGACTTTCACTCATTAAATAAAGTTTCCAAATTTCTGCGTCGAATTAGGCATGGTAGTAATCGCAGAGACTTCTACTTTCAGAAACCAACCAAGCTTTTTTTCGAACTCGATGCAGCAATTACGTTACGACACAAACTTCTTCGTTCAAAAGATCTTTTCTTTCTTCGGAAGCGGTCTCATAAGATGGGATACAAAAATTTTAAAGCTTCAAATAGTTTCCTTTACTTTCAACTTTACTTGTAACTTAACGTTCATTACTTCCTTCATTATCAACTTTTTGCAGATTTTCAAAGCTAATTAGAAGATTAGCGCTTTCAAAAAGTGCCTGAATTTTTCCAAAGATCACTTTCTCAAAAATAGTCCCGTTGTTCCGTTTTTCAGGGGTTTGTGGTCCGATTTTTGAGAAGCGCGAGTTTTCGTCATTCAAACGTTCATAACTTTCTTCATATTAACTTTTTGCAGATTTTCAAAGCTAATTAGAAACTAGAAGATTGACGCTTTTGAAAAATATCAAGATTTTTCTAAATGACCACTCTTTCGAAAAATCGTCCCGTTGTTCCGTTTTTTCCCCTCAATGGCTTTTTTAGGCCATTCTCTTGAAACGCGAGTTTTCAACCTTCAAATGGCCATAAGTTTCTTCAAAGTCGGTACATTGAGAAGCGGTAAAGCCATTGAAATCAGCAAGATCAGTACTTTATAGCATATGCTAGATTATCTTGAAAGGAAAACCTTTCTCCTGCCATAGGTTTCTATTAGTACTCCAGAGGTCAATCAGCCGAATTCGCTGCACTTTCCTCCACTTGATTTGTTCTAAAAGCATGACAGGAAAAAATTTTTCGCTTGTGCTCACTGGAACATGACGTATTTTAGTAAGAAATCTCGCTCTAGGATGCGCCATTCAATCGTCTGTGGTGCGTAGTCGCAGTGGCAGTTGAAAGTCTGTTCCTTTGCCACTTAGCCACGCCTTGGCAGCTTCTAATTTTGTGAATGGTACTTGAAATTACGATCCCCTCCTTTTCCATTGGTCGTTGAATCGACCGTTGATCGATACACTCGGCTGTTGTAATTTTGCGTATGCTCTGTTTTAGGGGGGTCGTGCCAAGTCCTCGATCTCAGGGGGGTCGTACTTCTGCGACCACGTCCTCGACACGATTCTCACCCTGATTGGAAGTGCAACCAAAACAAAGAGCAAAACTCTTCAAATAGGACTGCTCCGCAATTGAATAAGTATGTATGCTGCTTGAACCACCAGCGAGACGCGCCCGCTCGAAATCTGAGCTTGTGTGATTCAATTCAATTCTGCATCAGTTCTACGAAGGTTCAGAGAAAAGCTTCCGAGTGCTTTTTGAAGAGACATCCGAATTGAGCTTCACAATCAGATAATTGTTATGGATCATTTTATGATATATCGTTGAGAAAGTGAAGATTTGAAGGAGATCTCATTGAGTCATACTGCTCGTTGGTCGTGAAGGTAAGCAGTCAACCACTATCTACAAAAACATTAACTGATTAACGACCTGGCAATAACGATTCCGCTCAACTCACGTTCACCAAAGCTTCGAGTTTCTCTTCTGTTTTAATTCGTTCCTCACTCTCTTCGACTAGCAGTTGTACCTTAAACATTAAGCTTCAGATGCACTTCTCCAAAGGCATAAAAGAGCAAACGTGCAGCAATCACCTCTGTTGTTGTGCTTGGACGGAGGTTTATTAGCTGCATAGTTTCTGCTGCAGTTAACTGAAATTAACTATTTTTTCGAGAGAAACGTCAACCGGCAAATTCTTTACCCAGGAGGCTAAAAATAGGGGCAGCCAATAAAATAGTTAGGTTATGATCGAAATTTATTGCGACCGCCACCCATCAATTTCAACCGTTGCTGTATTTGAAAGGGTTTTTCGGCTTTTCGGCTACACAAGTACTTGAAGCTAATTGAATTCTTAAATCCCTCCAGATACGCTAGTTTTCAGAAGATCAATTAGATATGCATCTCACCGGTATTCAGATCTACGCGTGATCTAAGCCAGGTTTATTGAGAAAAAATTCTACACTCATAAATCCAAATAGAACTATTTCCTCAGTTAGATTCATCCTCATTATCCTTGGCGACGTGATGGTAATGAACGGATTTCGCTAGCACTGCATAAATACTTCTTGAAAACCTATCTCGAACATACGGTTGCTCACACTCGAAACAACTAAAAATGCCAGAATCCCCAACTATTTATTTGCAAATAATGTTATTGTCATAATATGTCTAAGAAACGGTATGCAATTGAGGGGAAACCATTATTTTTACAAAATAGCGAAATCTCAAGTGCTCACTCGACATAAAAGATAATGCATTTAGTGCTCATCACTTGTTTTAAGATGCGCCCCGCACTTTAGCTTCATTCGAAATCTTGGTGATATTTGAAGACGATTAGGCCTATATAGTGACTAGCGTTAGCCATCCTCTTTACGAAGTAGCGTTATAATCCTTGAATGGAAACTCTTGGTGAAACTCCGGAAGGATATGGTGTGGTCTCGGCGGGACTCAATTCGAGATTAGGTCCCCGGATCATGCTGGTGCTGACCGTAAGTAGCACCACTTCGCAACTACATCAAATCCACCTCATGAATATATAGCTCCAAATGAACCCGAAAGGTATGTGATCAGCTGGAGTAGCGTCAGCTGAGGTAACTGCTGTATTTCCCGTCCACGCCGTGGAAATTTTGTTTCTTTGCTAGGTGGAATGACGTTTTCATGGCCGTTTACATGGAGTTCTCTCCATACGAAACCTTCGGCCTGCTTAGTGTCACTGTGCAGAATTGATCTCCTGCCCTGCGATCTGGAGAGATTAGCTTTACTACTCCCATGAGCGATCAGAATAACTAGCTGGCACTAAATTTCTCCTGGCTCAGCAGTTTGCACTGCTTTTGCACTCAAAATTCCTTGCAGGTGAAAGCGCCCAGTTTCTGCGGTTGTCGTTATACCTCTAGATATGAGATCTGGAATTACAGAGGTCACACGACAGGAAATCAATTTTGTACAATGTTAATCAGTAGGCTAGAAGACTCGTTTATGGGAAATGGATGTGAGAGAACTCCCTACTCCAAGAGTCAAGAATAACAGCAAACAGTACAATGAATGTGCATTTTTGATGAGCTTCATTTTTTTGGGGACTCATACTAAACTGATATCTATCCAGCAGCTAGCACATGGATATTGCTTGTTCTGTGTGCACTTGTTGTTTTAGAGCATTGATGCGAAGCTTGACAAGCGAGCCAATCCGCTCTAGGTTTCCAAACTATTCTGTTCTCGTCACAGCTTCTCTTTAGCGTCGTCAAGCTGTTTCCGCGCAAGGGCCTGAATAATTTCGGCCGGTTTTGTAATACATTCGTATTTGCATCTGTTTATTTTTAAAATTTTCCCAATTCGCATGACTGCCATGCTTCTTCCTTTTATTGCCTCAGTGTAAGCGTGAACTTTTAATGTGAGTGAGTAAGTAAACGAGAAGAACTGTTACGATCTGTTACGCAGAACGGGGAAGGTTATTTGTCTTTGCAACAAAAACTTAGCCGAGCAAATTTATGTAGACATTTTAATAACTAGGCTCCGTTCCATAAATTCGATTCATCCCTACTGTGCTAATTGGATGTGTGATTTCCCTACACACAACAAATTCATTACATAGAAAAGATTATCTTGGATAAACTCCATAGCGTACTTTGCTTCGAATAGTCAATTAAAAAGTTTAAATTCTAAACATTCTAAAGCGCATAATGAATGTTCCACGTGTAGCACAATACTCACCCTAATATATGAAAGCGATCAGTCAGAACTTGATTCTCACTGTCAGGCCGGCATTTGATATTGAGACCTGCACAAGCGATAACGATATATACGACACAGTGACGCTTCGTTTTACTATCAGCGTTTCCGTGACTTTGAAAGAACACGTTATCGCCAAGCAAGCAAAATGGGTCAAAGTCCTCTTCTTCATCAAAAAAATGCTTCCCGCTCCTTTCAGTAACAAACCCCCACCCGAAATTTATATGAACCCAAATGCCATTTGTAACTAAAATGCGACCGCCTTCCACTCGAAAAATTTCCTTGGTTCTAAGTACTCGCCGAGCAGTGTTCTAGTATCTCATATATTCGCAGACTCTAGAGTGATCTGCATTAATGAAGATCAATACCCATCCAGTACGAACGAGGTCTCAAGAAAACATTTGGAATGTAGTAACCATCTCAATGGGTGCCAAATATTTACCCTTCTTGTGTTTAACTTGGAAGCAAAAAGCAGTGAAAAAATGAGACAATTTGTATATTTCGTATGTATCCATAGAGCCCCGCTGTCATTACCCATTTCACACTGCGACCGAGGAAATAAATATATGAATCAGCTACGTCAATGACATTGTCCTTCTAGAGCCTGACGAAAGGAATCATGACGAGGAAATGATCTGGGTGTTGATACGCTCACGCATCTCACACACCATTCAGCACCGTAGCGATTGGATTGTCTAAGCTTTTTCAATGTTAATATCTTAAAAAGAATAGATAATAGATCACCTTTTTGGCCAATAAATCATCGCGTATGCTTTTCGATTAGCCTCCAGCACTTATCAGCGCAGGGTTTGAACTGAGATATTAGTGGTCTAAAAGTATTAAATCGGATTATGTAACCTTCGAGTACTTCTGTACGTTATTAGTGGCAAAACAATGGGAATCTTTTGGCATACCTCATAGAGTACTGTGGAAAGATGCTTGCTCCTATCATTCTTCGACTTCTTGTCCTCTTGTTTTTTGACTTCGCTGAGCAGTTGCAATACTTCAAAGTTGGAAAGAAGAGTAATTTGACCATCCAGCACCTCCATTCTGAGAGAAAAACAAAAGAAGAAACACCCGCGACTCAAACGGCTTCGAAAATTTGTTCAGGGTCTAGAAAATATTGGACGCTTTTGTTGTCGAATGACATATTTACGAAACTGAGAGCACTTATCATTCTGATATAAAAACTGATATCCACACCGCAAAATAAACAGTACATTACTTTTTGAAAATTTACTAAATAACATAACACATGCAATACCATTCAATAAGCATGCATTGTAGAAAGACTATTCGGCACTGATTAATGTGAAAATAAGCATTTGTATATAAGAATGTCAACAGATAATACGACCACTTATTTTAGTTGTGGAAAGAAAGTCAGTGTACTCGCTCATTATCACGTCAGAGAACAGGAAATTCGGTAACATAGGCAGCACCTACGATATGGATACATATTCACAAGAATTCAAAAAAGCCTACAAGCACATTTTACGTCTTCGTTAGACAGAAAAATGCACATCTAAACGAGCACAGTACAGTACTGTAGCAAGAACGCAAGTGGTACATCTTCAGTCAACTAGCATCTATAATGTTGCTCATAGCAATGAAACATTTTAACAAAATACAAAGCATATACGGTTCTGGTTTAACGTGAGACAACATTTCATTTAGAACTGACAATGAACTTCCAAGCAGCACTTTGTCTCTAATGACACTGCTCCAAGTTACTGTCGATTCTCCAAGTAGAGACAGAACAAATCAGATTCAAACAAAACTCGTTCGCAATTCATCAAGGGTCATATGGGACCGCCAACATTCTTCATACCTTCACAATCATCTTGCCAATATTTTTTCCTGCCATCATGTCAACAAAAGCTTGTGGTGCCTTCGACAGACCCTCATAAATCGTTTCCTTCACCTAAAATGACAATGTTTTATTGATTTGATAGATAGCTCGAAAACTCAAGCTGGTCTAAATGTTTAAATAATAATGTGAAACTTCTATTGCGAAAGGCTCGATTTCAATTACAATACAAACAAAAACGGATATTTTAACACAATGTGCAATCACTGGGCGTATTCCAAGCCTGATGAGGTCGTCATTATAAGGCCATACATCAACGAAAAGACGGCATGAAAAGTGAACGGTGGTTAGGTAGCCTGCGCTCCCAGTACGGCTCTTATCATGTTCTCCCCAAACTTGGAGTGACTGCTCACATACTCCAGACCCTACGAAAAGAAACTCTGAAGGAAAGATTACTTGCTGTAATGAGGACAAGATATGTCAGCTTAGGGGTAGAGTTTATCCGAATAGAATGCCAAGGAAGTGTGCAAAAATTGGTATGGAAAATAGAAAGATCAATTCATGAGCGGCTGACCTACTTCGGAGGGTTCTGCAATCCAATCTCATATTCAGGTAACAATTTCTCCGAAAATGGAATCCAAAGACGTGCTCAGGGAAAAGTTCTCAGCTTCAACATAAAAGTGAAACCGTGGTCCACGACGAGAAAGCCGAAGATAGAAGGAAAGCAGGCGCCTTCTGTGATTCTGCTGTGTTTTGTCTAACTTATGAAGAAAACGAAAAGTTCAAGAAGTAAACATTAAACTTAAGGACTCAAGGAAGGGTTACACAACCTTACACTACAAGCGAACACCATCAAAAGCTGGACGAGTGAACACCATCGGATTCTTCCCCATATTCCTAGTTTCCTAGCGAGCCACGCCATTTCTACCATCAAAGCTAATTTTCTTGTCAACAAGGAAAAGCATTTGAGTGAAAGGAAATTTGTTCGATAAAACAGGGTCTCGGCCAACTCGTTTAACGAATCTTTCTTCTCAAATTTCAGCCGAACAAACAGGGCAGCACGTTTGGTGCCACATGACTAAACCAATAGTTTCAACAAAAGATTTCAGATCTGTGTGCTTTAAATGCTAGAACTGACGCAGACTGAGCGTACGTGGTGATTTTATTTTATGCATCCTTAGAGATTTTACGTCAATCCTGGTTTCGCGGTGGTTTCTTCGGTCGCCAATGTTTTATCAAATTTAATAGTGGTGAAGTTCGTAGTTTCTAGCCACGACTTAAAATACCCACCCTAGAATGGCAGCGATCCTTGTGACAGGGCAATCAAGCGCGACAAAACCAAGGAATGGCTTTCACTAGTAGAGGAAAGGAAAGAGTTCGAAACGCAATTCTAGTAGAGTTCATGTACGCTCAGCAAGTGCTCGTTGCCAGCTGGATCAAACAATTCAACATAAGGAGAATTTTCTGGAGCGTTCCAGCTTGCATTACAGATACCTGGGCTTCAAAATAATCATGTTACACTACAATTTAATATAAACTTGCTGATTTTGAGTTGACTTACCTTCAGTTTGTTCTCCTGCAGCCAGTGCGATAGCTGAGCCACTGCAGCATCCATTTCATCCTTATACGACAACACTAAGAACCGCTCTCTGAAAATAATATTAATGAGAAATGAGCAGAAATCGAAGCGACAAAGATACCTTTGGATATTTTTCAAGCGAATTATCTCTGCGGTCTGTGAAGGAATTGGTGGAGGATAAGGTAAATCAGTGTTGTAAACGGCAATCTGACCACATAAAACTATGCGACCTCCATTGTTCATCTAAGGATGTAAATATGGAAATTTAATTATTTCATAGCATATATCTATAATTGTGACTCACATTCTGGATCACAGCATCACTGATGAATCCTCCAACGTTATCAAAATAGATATCGACACCGTCAGGGGCTAAAGAAGAAAGGGCATCGGATATTGCTTCCGCTCGATAATTTATAGCTCCATCGAATCCAAACTCGGAGACCTCAAAGGGAGATCATTACAAAAAAAAAACAAGAAGAACGCATTTTTATATTCAAATTGGACGCCGGTATCAATAACAAGTATAACCGGCAAACAACAAATTTATTTACCAGAATTCTGCACTTTTCCTCAGTACCACAGATTCCGATAACACGGGTGCAACCCTCAAGTCGAGCGATCTAAATTTATATATTACCACCGTCTGAGTTTCTACCGATACGCTGAAACAGCAGAACCCAAATTTCACCGGCTGACTGAAAATCCGAAAAATCACCTACCTGGCCTGCTAAAGTACCGCAGCTGCCAGCAGCACCTGATATTACTATGGTTTGCGGTCGAGATCTGTCAATCGCTGCCTGAAACGATAGTAGACAAACCGTAGGACTACCTGTGCTTTCTTTTTGCTAAGACATTGTGAAACAAAATTTACGATTGCTGCTAATTTTTTTTTCCCCAAAAAAAAATATTTTTTTCGTCATCTCAAGAAACAAGATCTTTTGCCGGTGTTGTGGCAAAACTTCAGTCACAAGGCCCACAATCCAGTAGAGTATAATGATGAGGTTCCTTTCTACCTAGTGCACTATAACCTTTGAGTGTATCCAAATACATAAATAAACAATAAATAATAAAATATCTGGTTCGTTGTCCGCCTCACTAAAAAATCAATTAGGAGTGCACACTATACTCACATGTAATGCACTAGCAGACCCTAGCGCCATCGTCGTGCAGTTTTGACCAGCGACAACGGCACATCCGCGATGGACGTGTGCTGGTGTATACCACCCAGAATAGATTTTTCGACGAGGCTTCAACTGGGGTTGTTGCTGCAAAATTCAACAGAGCAATCTCGCTTGGGATGAAAAAAAATTGATGCAACTTGGCTGGAATACCGAACATTCATCAAGAAACAGCATGAATATTTTTCGTGAACATTGAGGTTTCATAACTTAACTGAACTTCAAAACTCGAAAACTTCGAATCACCTTTTTCCTAATCCCAAGAAGAGAAGTCATCCCAGATATTCCCACACATGATAAAATGATAGAAGGAGAAAAGCCCTCGGGAAGATGCACCTAAATTTTATGAGAATTTGTAACAGCAATTAAATACATGAGTTATGCTGTGCAACATGTGTAAAAACTGACCTTCACCAAATCACTGCAATCCGCAATAAATCTTTTTGTCCACGGCCATAAGTGAGCACATGATGTGACGATATCACCAGACATGAGAGCGCTGTTTTCACCAACAATCTCAAAACATATCCAACATATCAAGGCACAGAATGTTTAACGTATAAATCAGCCGCGCATACCTCAACAACGCCAACACCCTCCATGCCATCTACCAACTCGCCAGGCTCGTAAGGTGCAAGGTAGTCCACTCCAGTAGACGAATTCATGCGACATCTCTGCAGAGATTCATGGAGCAAAAATGCAGGGAAAAGCATTTCTTTCTTTAATTTTCATTTCTTTTCTCACTTAATTTCTTTTCTCGCGGTTGTCCAATCCTTCTTTGGCATTTATAAGGTCGGAAACGCATAAAAACGACCGTATAACCAATTCAATAAAGTGCTCACACGATTGTGCGATTTAGCACATATTTCGCATAGAAACGGGTTTACTTTTCATTGTTGTGAAGTTATTTAACGTTACCTTTTGCTTGAGCCCTTTGTGAAGGTAGATTCAGTACGGTTTTTGAAAGATATTTCGAAAGTGCTTCTGATGAGTACCTCAGTACACTGCCCAGGAAGAATTGAGCCAAATTGTAGGAAACAGAACCCCGTTTTGGATAAATACCAGCATTTCTCAACAAAGAGCACCGACACTCGCGATAGCATAAAACAGCAAGATCAACAAGTTGGATCGGATAAGAATGCAAAACATGCAAAAAGACCGACCGAAGTATCACTGTTAAGTCGCGCGATGACCAGCTGAACGAACGCAAAAAACGTGGTTAGTTATTTTTAAGCTCACCTGTGCCGGATCAACGGAGAGATACAGTGTACGCACGAGACACTGACCAGGTCCCAAATCGGAAGCTGTGGGGTCGTGGCAGCTTTCGCAATGAAAGCAGTCCACCGATGGTGGTGAGTTCTCTCCTAGACGGGTGTATTTATTAGACATCAACGGACTTCAAATATCAAGAATACCACACCTGGCCTTTTAACGAACACTACACGCTCATTTCCGCCTGAGCTAGTACCTTCTTCCATTGCAGAACCTCGAGGAAGTTCAATCTAAGAATAGGGAATTTGTAATGTTAGTGTGACCAACCAATCTGAGTGCCTTACACTGGATTGAGCCAATAATCGCTTCAAGACCCTTCCTCTGTGCGCTATTTTCGACAAGTCCTCCACCGTGTAGTCGTCACCACGAAAAAAATTTGCTGGAATATTGAAAAATTGAGGAATAAACCATTAAGTATTTGACGACACGACAACAGCAAACAAGGATGAAGATAGCAGAACTCTCTCCGCTGCCCACTCAGGGGAAGCACAATCAGACAGACTAATAGTGAGAGAACACAAAACGACATAAAGGGAAATAGTTAGTATTGAACTCGCAAAAAGCTGCAATATTTCAGGCATTAGCATGAAAGGACGAAAAGCACTGCAAGGAAATGGAGACCATGCAACAATTAATCAAGTACTTTTGGAAGTGATGTAAAGGTTAGCGCGGCAAAAAAGCTCACAACACTAGACATGACGACTAAAACTTACTGGTGTGTTCACGCCAGTATTCTACAAAGGAAATGAATCGTCGTGGCTCTTGGTCCATCTTGGTCCATCGAGCAAAATAGGAAACAATAATACCCTGAACAAAATGAACCCCACAGAAGGATGAAGATTTTGAAAACCTTAATTAGGCCTACTCTCAGAAAGGTATCAATATTTACCAGAATACAGCTCTGGAACAAGATATCCGTCAGACCTACCAACTGCTCACTAAGTGCACTTTACTACCACATGATCCTAAACAAAAGCTAATAAATCGTCTTGGTTACCGTAAGCGTATATGATTAACGAAACATGAACACAGCAATGTTAACATTCGTATAACATTGATCGATTGAAACGATTGCGCAGTGATATTTTGACAATGCACAATCCCACCTCCACCAAAAGATCACTGCGAACAAAGTTAAATACAGAAGTTTTGACGACTTTAAAAGAGAAAGTTGATATACCCAAAATAATATTTCCTTGTTTGTCAACTACCCTCCACAATGTAAGAATTCAGCCAGATTAAAGTGGAAATTACACCTCAATGCCACATTAAATATTTACGCTAAAGTTAAATTACGCAAAGCCTTTCCTCAACTGGACCGTATTGAGAATAAATAAATTAACATAAGAACCTTCACATAAAGATGACCAATTTCGTGGAATTACTTCCTAATACAGCGCTACTTTTCTAACTTCCAAGAAAAAGCGAAAGTGTTTACACAATGAAGGACACTGCATCGCACTTTATGAACTCTAGAATCGATGTTCGATCTTAAGAAAAAAGAAATATCGATAAATATAGCGAGATTAGGTGCAACGCACTGCAAACGTTCGGAAGCAAATGAGGGCGGGATCAAAAACCTTGAATGAATGGGGCACGCACTGGGGAAGTGTGATGCGTGAGCAAAACAATATTGAAACCCTAAGAAGTAGAGCAGAAAACAATTGGAAATAAAGTAAAGTAACAGCGAGGGAAGACTGCACTCAACACCACCAAAAAGACTGGAGCAGTCGGTAACCGCGGCTTTCCACAAAGCGAATAGTTGCAAAATGCAAAATGCAATAGGGAACGCCGCTGCACTGAAAACTCCGGATAGTTGGGATTCCGGGAAATATTGACACGATCATGCACTTATCATAAAGATTTCCACCACAATCTGCAAACCTTGCAGCATATTTCAAGAAAGCAGAAAAACTTCGTCGAGGCCATCGCAGTTTTGCAGCGCGTGACATAAAATGCAAGAGTGTGACCTTCAAAAGCACAAAACAGTTCAAAGTGTCCTTCGTAGAGAAATAGAGAAACTAGAAAACATATACGAGCTCAGGAAGAAGAACGGGTAAGTTCCGCAATTTGAACCAAAGAAGTTAAAAGGAAATATATAAAGGAAAAAATGAAGAGTTCGACCACTGAAACATGCTTGATGTAAACAACTAGCGTTAACGTCTAAAGAAGAAGTGGAATCGACGTATCTGCGCGAGCAAGAATGATTCGCAGCGAATTGTACTAGCAAAAAGAGAGGGAGCGAAACGCATAAGCACACAGCAGGGCAATAACTCTACCTTTCAGCCCCTTTGCTCTCGTCACAGCTTCACAGCGAATAGTTTTTAGTATTCAGGAACGGCAGAGGAGCACATGCTAGAACATCAGGGACGTGATCTTGAACGGTCTCAAGATTTACACGCATTTACTCCAAAGGAAATCGCACGATCGCAAAATCGCAAACTAGCCTTGCGGCATCACAAAATGAGCTATAATAAAAATTCACCATAAGTACGATCTACTATGGAACAATCGGCTTGTTCATCATTGCGAAATAGGTTCAAAGCGTCATCCAGAAAAATTCGCCATGTAAACTCCTGATCTGTTTTGCCTTAACAGCTCTCTGACAAGCGCTTTTGAAATAATCATGTAAAGGGAAAAGACACGTGAAGTTGAAGTCAAGCCTTTCACCTTTTAAGACATCCACCAAAGTCCAACAGAAAAACCAATGTAAAATAGGCCATGCAACTTTCTTAATCTGCACGTCAGAAATAGGCTACGGCCTCCAGCTATTATGTGAAATACCTCCGGTCGACATGTGCAAGACGTACTGCTCCTCATTACCATGACCCCGTTCCAGGGGATTTGCAAACAAGGCTTGGATTCAGCTTTTGTGGTGTTAACAAGGCATTATCGCACATAAGAACTAGTGCAGAAACGTCGCTTTCTTTCTTTTCTTTGAAAAAGCCTAGCCTTGGTAATACACTATCACGTGCTTTTCTGCCTGGACCCTCACGCCTAGTTTATTTCGGTTGCGAGGCTTCTGTCCACAAAAGGGTGAGAATACAGATGATTAAAACACGCTTTTTGTAGTACTAAAACCTTTGAAGGAAATAAGGAAAAGAGAGAAGCTGTATGCATCTCCACTTTTTATTTCTGCATTTCTTTATTTCTTTTGTTGTAGTACGCTTGAACTCGCTTGTGAGCTTCCAAACAAAACTACAAAACGCTAAATTACCTGGCCTTACGGTACAGAAACCGGTCTAAGGTCAACCTTATAGAAACGGGAAATGTGAGTTCCGGAATACTATGTTCTAGGGGTCTAATCCAGTAAGCGGGAAACGTAGCGGTTTAGAGCGCTCAGTGGTTTTAAAGCCATGTAAAGCATATTCTTCTATTGTAAACGTTCAGGACTACGTCTTAGAAGCGGAAACCCCGTATCCGTAAGCAATCCCGCTTCCCCGAGGAATTTCTTCCCTCTTCCTAGGCTTAGTCCTAGCTGCTGACTAGGTCAATATTACTTTTCACGGTGCTTATTTAGTTTGTGCTTGATTAGGGGGGGGGGGTCCCAGAGGCGGCGCGACGCTGTTTTCTCTGCACTACTGAGGCTTCGTCATAGATACCGCTACTACTTTGCCAAGGCAGCGAAACAGCGGTGACCAATCCTCAACACGTTGACGACATCGCGCGTTTTGGCTTTTTTGGCCGCGTGGGACCGGCGCGATTTTGCAAGCGCCGCCGCATCACCTCATAACTGTGGATTTTGAGCTGTAAATACGCAAAATTTGTAAGTGTTTCCATTATTGTTCAATGTACATAACTTATCGGGAGTTACAGTAATGGAAGTTTGACCAAAATAACGTGTTATGGCTACGAGAAGGCAAATTTTACTTTTGCTTTCGCTTTAGTGATTCCAAAATTATTTTGAACGTGGTTGTTTAAAGAAAATATATATCTTGCCACGCGACTAGGTTTGTTTCACTTCTAATATTCTTTTTTATCTACATGTTCGTGTTAATGAAAAGAAAATGAGGAATGAACTGAACGGATATTTTCGTCAGGTCCGGAAAACCTCTGCCAACTAAAATATTTGGCCATTCTGTGAAGCCACGTGGTTTTTGATTATGTTGATGTATGTCCTACGAATGAATACGAAAAATTGGGAAGAATTCCGGCATATGCAAAAAAATAAATGTAATGTTGGCATACATAGATGCCGCGCTGTCGCCAACTGAAGGTGCAGCCGAACAAAGCGCCGCACCGCCGCCTGGGACCAGATTCAATCCTCCCCCAAGGGGTTGGGGACGAAAATCCCTTTAAATTTATTTGTTTTGAACGATATAGTTTCTTCATTTTCAGTGCATGTTTACTTTGACCTACATACATACATTAAATGTAGGCCCTTTATCAGGACAATCCCAGTTGGGAAGACAGAGAAAATTTAAAGGGATTTTCGTCCCCAACCCCTTGGGGAAGGATTGAATCCGGACCCTGCTCCCGTCCCCCCTCTAGGTTAGCACCGTAATTTCTTTACTTTCAGCACATTCTTTGCTGAAGTTCCTGTCCTCCCCCTCGAAAAGGTTTCTTTTTAAGCCATGAAACTGTCATGGAATGATGATAACGTTGTACTCAACTACTTACGGTGGGTAACCCTACTAAAAAGATAGTGAAGTCGACATGAGGAGCTTTAGAGTGGCTTTCTTCCCCATCTTCGGCCGAGCGGTCCAAACAGAGCCCTGACTTCAACGCAATATCATGTATGTGTGAAACTAATCATAAATGATGGATAACCACATGAGTGCGTAACTGCTGTCGGGGGCATAGAATGCGGTATTTTCAAGTAGCATCCCTTTCAACAGCTACGGTTGGTTTCGGCTTTTCGCTATGAAAAGTAAATGTCGTTTCAACGGTGCTATGGACCTAACAAACGTGACAATGTATTAAGTGAAACATAACTGCTGAGGCACGGAAATTACAACAACGAAAGGAAATGAAGCAGTATTTGACACCGTATCAGTACGTGAAGCACAAAAATGTGAACAAAAAGGGAACTTTTTATCTTGCAGTCTGCAGTGGTTGATAGCAGTCTATATTTCACAGCACTTGCCTGATGGCAATGCACGACCGGGAAATGTCAGCGATAACTAATCAACAACAACAACTATGTCCTCACCAAGGCGACTTTAACTACAGGAAAACAACGCAACTATATACGAGAGCTACAATACTACTCCATTTCATAAACATTTGATTTCGATAGTTTCAACAAACGGAATGTGAAAAAAAGATGTGGACATACCACATAACTCAATATCAAATCTAATATCCATAATGTGCCAATATCGTATCTAACATGATCCACAATCCTTTAAAATAATTCAAAGTGCCAACTCTCCCAAACATAGACAGTAGCGGCAAGATTTTAGAAAATGAAAAAATAAAAGAATAAAACAAGAACATTGGAGTATAACCGCAATATCAATGTTTACAATAAAAACACAACGTTAACGAGACTTCAGTGATAATGCAATGATGCAATAATAATCATATTCCAGTTCATTAATCCACGTATTAAACTTGACCTACATCATTGAGAACGCGCACGTGACTCGGAAACAAAAAGCGACCGGAATAACACGTTATTCGGGATCGGGGCAGAACTAGAGATTTGAGAGTAAAACCCTAGTTCATTTTAGAACAACATAAACCGGTTTTCGATTACGTAAAAGTAGCTCAGCGAGCACTTAGATGGAAACGAGATGTAGGAAAAGTTGAAGTGCTGCTCTTAAAAGAGGTAGCCTCCACAGCTGCAAGTATGATGTGCAATTTCAGGCAGCATCGCAGCAGCTTAAAGGACCAAGTACAAGTGATTTTCCTTCTAATACGAATGATCGATACCCCGAAAATATGCAGGTGATTCACAGAAGATGAACTAAGCAAATACCCCTCAGAAGTTTTTGTATATTATGTTAGTAATACTCAGATACTTTCCCTTATGTTGAAACACAAGTTGAACCACTGCATAAACCCTCATTTAGACATGCGTACCGGTTACCATTTCATTTAGCGACTTCCCGTGCACATTTTCAAGATGGTATGTGCAGTTTCAGAAAAGTAGTGAATGACTAAGAACACAAATGCTAAATTGAGCGGGAAATTTGTGCGAGACGTCCAACAAGTCAACAATAATCCACATGTTCAGGTAACAACGTGCTATAGTGAACTAACGATTTTTCCTAACTAATATTTTATAATGGTAAAATGTATTGCCACTAGAATATGTACATTCGTTACGGCTAACGGCAATACATTGACTGATAAGACTAACCGCAACACCGCCTAGAAGTGATATCGCTCAAAAGGAGTAGAAAACTGCCGAATGGGAGATATGGTTGAGATAGCACCATCGAGTCATCGCGGTAGAATCGGCAAACGGAGATTCAACTCATTCCCATTCCGTCGTTCCCGGAGGTTTACTTGTCAGATCAATCATGACTCGCGAAGTCCCCTTGACGTGGGTTACAATTCGTCGCACCATTTCCAAAACATTCTGCAAAAAATAGCTGTTGGTGTGGCACAGAAACCGTGCTATTTATGGTCCCTACCAAAAAAAAATCTGATAGTAACCTAAACGCAAAGGCCGCAAAAACAGAAACTGGTTCAGAAAACATTGCGGATATGCGGTCAGTATTGAAAAGAGTCTCATGTATGCTATGCATGAGTAATTTCTAAGAGATGTGCAGGAACATAGCATGTAATACCAACAAAAAGAAGTTCCATTATACTGCGGGTGTCTACTCCACTTAAATCTGCTAACATTATCTTGCAATTCAAAATGAAAGCCTGAAAAATTGAAAAAGAAGTTATCCATAAGGTGAGAAACAGCTCCATCGATACTGGATTTTAAAGCGGCGACTTCGCATCTTGCGGTATTTCATCACACGCAAATTCTACTTAGCCGAACGAGTCAAAGTACATTTTATCGAGATGTTTGTCTCTTCGCGAAATTAGCAGAGAAGCCGCAAAAAGCTGTACAGAAATGGAAAATTAGGAATACAAACCTTCTTCTCGGATATCCCTTCCTGGCGGTGCTGCAATACCAGTCATGAAATCTGAGGTAATAAATGGCCGCTAAACAAAAGATCGCTTATAGGAATTGACTTCGGTAGGAGGGCGATCGAAGTGGATAGGAACCATTACAACAGGCATCTGAAACCAAACGCAATCTTGAAGGCGAGGGAATAATAAAAATAGAAACGATAGGGGGAATGAAGCCATCGTGTGATCGCTTCTTCTTCAATATACTCGGGATGAAGACCAGCAAAACCATTGACAAAAATTTCATCCACTACAATATCAAAGATGTTCCGATAATGGGCATGCTACATTGGCTGGTGATCGTGGTCGGCTATGAAGATTAAACTAAGAGGAATGTCAAAATAATTATGCCAAACCCCAATGATACTTTCTGTAATCGACTAATTGCTAGCTTCCGCGATCATCGGAGAAAAAGCAATGGAAAAGTAGCCTGACTGATTCACTTCATAAACCTTTAACCGGCAAAAATACTGCTTGAAGGAACGCACCGGGATTGATCACTAAAGTAATCTGTTCAATGAGTAGGATGATAAAGCTGTGCGAAGGTTAATGCGCTACACGGCGAATGGGGACGGCAAAGGCTCTAGGGCCTTGTGAATGCTCCCGGTTGTTGGCTGTGAGTAGAAGTCTCATCGTCCGTTATGCAG